GGGGGGGTATTTTTGGCCAAATTTTAGCTGATGTCATTTGTGAACAGTCCCTAATGACGCTACTGGACTGTCTTGTATTTCATAAATGCTTTTTTTTTTAAGTTTTACTTTCGTTTTAGTAAGGTTTTTATGGCGCTCGCAACTGCATAAATGAGGTCATATTATGAGCGCCAAGGGGTGGATGTCAACAGAGAAGTGTAAACGAGGAATCAGGCTTACTCTGCTCACCTCTCTAGTCTCAACAACACAAAGTCTGCTTCGACTACCAAGGAACCCCGGTAATACTCAAATAGATGTTCACAAGAGAGTGACAAACATACAAGAGAAGTAGAGGGAAAATGACGATAGTAAGGATGAGGAAAGGAAAAGCAGCAGTTCCCCTTGTGTTGTTTCGCCACAGTATAAGCATGACATTGATCTGCCCATTTCTATTCTACTGTGCAAAAGAACATGTTAATAAATATCCCCTCTTTGGGAATGGCCTAGAGACACTTCAGTCAGAGTAGCGCTGCGCGCGCGCCCTGCTTTGACAAATCAGCTCTCAAGGCAGCCTGAAAGAATAAGTTGACAGAAAGCGTATGAAAGATGAGGATTACATGATGTGATCTCGACCAAAAGGGAGATTGGTGAATAAACGATACGCATATCCCATCTCTCTTACTTTAGTACAGGACTGGCATCTGTGATGAAATGGTAGGCGCTCCGCCACAGCACGCAGAAAACCTGAGCTTGATTCCCATCATGTGCGGAAATTCTTATCAAATACTGTCGAACGTGCTCTAACGGCCTCCTGTCCAAAACAACAAGTAGGCTACAATGTGACAACGACTAATTCCCAACGCATTGTAAAAATATTATAATAAATAGCACTGTCCAAGCTGTTTGGGGCAATCACTTTTCTCCTCACCAGCCAATGAATGGCTGCCTTGGACAATTTCTTCTGCATTGCCTTTCTAGCACATTGTAGTCTACTAGGATGTTGTATCCCCTCTCACCCCGGGTTGGCCCTGACAGGCAGGGTCGAAGCCAGCCTCCAAAATGACCTAAGCTTAAATTATGTCTGTTGGGGCGGAGAATGGAAACGGAATATAATAATAATAATAAATAATAATAAATAGCATTTGTATACCGCATAACCCCGCTCGACAGCAAGCTCTATCATACTCTATGCGCTTTACACTATATTACATATACATGTATATTACCCCAGCAGACCATAGAACACTCAGAAACATTCTCAGCTTCCCGGGGAAAAATACAGTGCAAGCAGCTGATTAAGCGCTCAAACACTAACAAACTGACAAGATCTTTCACTGTCTATAGCTGGGTACCCGTTCCCACTTGGGTGAAGTGAGGAAAACTCGTGTAAAGTGCCTTTCCCAAGGACACAACGTCGGGTCCCTGATTCGAACCCACGACCTTACGGTTGCGAGTCCGAGAGCCTAACCACTATAGGCCACCGACGCCACGCAACATGCTAGATTCGTGATTATATTCATGTACCACATGCACTGAAAGTCGTCTGTTAGAGTTAGTAGAGGCGTGTCTTACAAAAGGTGTCCACTGACCACTGACCATTTTCAAGACACATATTTTGCATTTTGCACACAATCATTGTGGACATTGCACAACCTCAGAATTATAAAATTCTATCTGACATTTTTGGCCGTTGTGAGTTACTGAGACCATGATGTCATTAAACAATGTTCTATCTGTTCTGTCAACATTTTAAGAATATTCGGAGTCGTTATTCTAGATATTCAAAGAAGTTTATTCTAAAAACTAAAAAGAATATTGATATGATGTTCACATCAAAATCTTTGACGTCAAATTTTTCAAAACTAGATCTAGTACGGAGCAGATAGAACTTTGAATGTAATTCTGAGGTTACGATTGGTACCTTCGCGTTTGTCACAATATTATACAATATAGATCTAGGCCTGAGCAATAAAAAATATTATCATTATCTAATGACTATCATGTATATATAATATTTATTATATTATATTAATTGGACTCACAGAATAGTAGCTTTCAATTAAATATATGGAAATGTAAAACGCAAAAATCTACTAATTTGTCGGTGTGTTTTAGTGTGTGGGTGGGGGGGGGGGCAATTTTATTTCTAACTTTTTTTGTTTTACTATTACTTAATTATATTTTTTAAAAAACTCTTTCTGCCTACCCTTGGAGTAAGTTACTCCAAGCCAAGTGCCTACCACGACCTGGTCTATTACTATTGTAGGCCTACTATTGTCACTTATTGTCTTAATGCACTTCCGGGTTTTTCGTTCTGGTTCAACCAATGGCAAGAACCGCGGAAATGTATAAACAACCCAAAGAGGATGTTATTGAATTGAAAGAGCTGGGTTGCCAGACTGCCCATTTCGTTGCTTTTTAAAGAGCTAAATTTGGGTCGTGATAATTATATATTCGTTTGTTTCAAACGATCTTCAAACAAGATAATTAGACTTTTGTCGCTATTTGTAAAACATTTATGAAATATAGGCTCATTTTCAGCACACAAATTCTGTCTATATCACATAATTTAAATTTGGGTTCATGAAGCCCTGAATGGCCAACTATATTTTGTAGAACTTTTAAAACCAGTTGTCATGTAGGCTAAACGTGCCTTTTTTTATTTCGGGAAAATTTTTGTAAATAATTATAAACCTGACAAAAATTAAATGTACAATAATTGTCTTTTATGAGTCCTCCGTCGTTGGAACTGAAGAAAGGAGACGAGGGATTAGCCTAAACTGACTGAATCTAGCATCGTGGAATAATCAACTTAACCAGTACTTCTGGGATAAACTTGGCAACCCAGACTGAGAGCTTGATGATTATTGACTAATAGTGACAAGTTTTCAGTTTGACGGGATATTGTAATGATTTAGCAACTCTATCTAAAAATCTAGAATAGATCTATTAACCGTACTTTTAAGAATGAATGCCATCAATGTCAATCGTCTTAAAAAAGAGCTTGAAATGTTCACTAAAGCTCCACCATCTGGAATATCGTGTGCTGCATCAAACGACTCCCTTGATTTGTTTACAGCTCGTAAGTGGCAAGACTAGATTCTCTAGTTTCTGTAGACTGTACTGTACTGTAGGCCTTTTTAACCTTTTATCCTCTGCACTATACTAGATTCTAGATATATATAGATCTAGATCTAGATCTAGATCTATAGAATCCAGATATATCTAGATTAGATCTAGATCTACATTTTATATCCTACACAAGAATCTGTAGATGAGGACTTTTCTAGGAGGTCAAAATGTGTGTGTATAGTCACATAGTGTATAGTCTAGTATAGTGTATTCATGATCATAGTCGCATAGATAGTATCTAATCTAGATCTAGATCTATCATCAAGCGCCATTTGTCGATCAGCGCGATCTTAAGATGGGGCAGAACCATATATGAGGATCCGCAAAAAGCGTGGCCATCTCGAGATGGGCGCGACGCGCCATCACACACAAACAACGGCAGCAAAGGCAAAGCTAACAAACAAAACTCCGCAGAATTTATTATCATTAATTTCAAAAGTTAAAAGAAAAAGTTCCAAAGAGGATGCAAGTCCTCCCCCACTTGCCCTTACAATACAACCTTTCTCTTTTGACTTTTTTGCGTGTGGTGTGAAGTAACATATATTGCCATCTTAACCCTAGAAGCGCTCAGCGTTTCACCGGAAGTAACCCGCCAAAAATGCCCCGCCACCACGGCCGATCAGTTGTAAACATGGGGGTTTGGCGGGGGGGAAACAGCTGAGATACCCGAAATGTATACCTGCTACTGAAAAATGACCATTTAGGGCTCAACGGATGATAAAAAGCATATATTTTCTTTAAGCTGATAGAATGAGCCATTAAAAAATGATTAGCGATCAAATAAATACAAACAAAGCTGAGAACGCAATAGACTCAACAATTAATACATCAGCAGGGCGAAACAAGTGATAACAAATAGCGTGTAGTCGCTCAGCGGGACCGCGTCACTTTATCGATCGATATCTCGGCCAAGAGACGCTCTACGAGGTCAAGATAACTTGCAAAGTCATTGGTCACTATTTATAACTTTGGCCTGTAATTGACTACGTCATTTTCCATATATAAGGAACACTGGAATTTTCCATTGAAAAGGGTCAGCGTCTATGCCCTTTATAGGGCCTGCGCGCTTCCCGGTCGAAGTAGGTCAGCCTTATATATAGGGCCTGCGCGCTTCCAGGGTTAAGATACATTCAAGCGCCATTTGCCGATCAGCGCGATCTTAAGATGGCGCAGAATCATGACGATCTGCAGAAAGCACGGCCATCTCGAGATGGGCGCGATGCGCCATCACACACAAACAAATGATTTTGCAAAGTTCACAAACAAAACTCCGCAGAATTTATTTTATCATTAATAAAATTTCAAAAATAAAAAAAAAAAGGTTCAAGAGGATGCGAGTATCACTTGCCCATACAGCCTTTCTCATTCTCTTTTGACTTTTTGCATTTCGTTTCTAAGTGCTTTGCTTTCCCCTTTCATTCAGGGTTGCAACATTATTTTTCTCGAGATGGCCGCACTTTCTGCGGATCGTCCTATATGGTTCTGCGCCATCTTAAGATCGTGCTGATCGGCAAATGGCGCTTGACATAGATCTAGATCATCTAATCTAGAATCTATTTATCATGCTTGATAATGGTATACAATTCGGAGTGTCTACGTGGTAACCGGGCACCTAGCCTCAGTGTCTACGTACACACGGTAACCGGCAACCGGGCACGTAGTCTCAGTGTCATCATGTACACGGTAACCAGGCAGTTCAGAACTCCAAGTTCAATTTTTGTCATCCGGTGTTGCCTTCATCCCCACCCCTCCCCCAACTGTACCTTTAAAAAGAATCAATAAATAATTCTCCCATTCCGGAGCCCTATATATATATAAATTTCGCAGCGCACAGGCTTTGAATGAACTTTGGTGACCCCCAACCGGTACTCACAATTTGATGCGCACGCACAGGTTCACTGACCTGTCATGATGGCGAGCCCGACAAGACGCTTGTACGTATTTCTTTTTTTTCAGCAAGTGACAGTACACGACAGAATATTTATTAATTTTCATTCCGGTTTACTGTGTACGTAGATACTGCAGACCAGGTGCCCGGTTACCGTGTAAGTAGATACTGAGACTAGGTAAGACTATAAGGTGCCCAGTTACAATGTACGTAGACATTGAGTCAGGTGCCCGGTTACTGTGTATGTAGATACTCCGTATACAATAAGGTGCTTTTTCGGTAGTTCCCACCCCCTTATTTGAGCCTAGATCTACATCTAGATATATACGTTTGATGTGCGGCGAGCTAAGACATCAAATCTAACAACTGCAAAACATCAAATTATTATGGTAACCCCCCACCTTATTTTTATTACTTGCCTGCCTGAAACCTACTCTTGGGGCCTAAACCCGCGAATAACTATTGCGGGGTGGGAAGAACCGAAAAAGCGCCTTCAGTTATACAGTGTAAAAGATTTTCGTAGCCTTTATTGCGTGACACTGACACGATGTTTGTTAAATTATAGATCTAGATCTAGTTACCTACCAAACCTCATTTGATAATGGATTACCGCCAACCTTTAGGGGAGTATGAATTTGGTGGAACAGTGGGGCTGGCGGTTCAACGGGGTTCCCCTGTTACACTTGTATAGCCTGACTGCCAAATGCCACGGAACATCTGCTGTAGGCCTAGACATCTAGATCAAGATCTAGATTCTAGTTATATAGAATCTCTGTTCGAGGTTTGACTGTGGATCAATGAAGGGCGATTGTTAAGATTCTCGCGTTTAATTCCGATTTGCGTTTTTCAGGGTTAGGGTTAGGGACCAAAGCGAAACATGCCTGAGGCTATGAAAAATGCAAATTGGAATTAAACGCGGGAATCTTAACAATTGCTCTATGTAGGCCTACTAGCCTACATGATTAGCCTCCTACACATACATGATCATAATAAATTATGAATTGAATGATAAAAATGTACCAGATTTGCTAGTGGGTAGCTTAAAGTTTTAAGCAAAGAGGTTTTTCAATTCTACTGTACTGCTAGACTCTCTCTATATATTGCGGGTCAGGTCTAGGGCCTCAGGGACTGATTTTCACTCACTCTGAGCACTTTTTACTTTTTTGGTATTTTCTGATCCCTCATTCGGTCTAGATTTTATTGACACTATTGTAGTCACTGAGTGAGACAAGCGGATAGTTAGAGAACGTTAGGAGTACGCCATTGGCCGATATTTATAGTAACAGCCATCTTGTTTGTGTCATAAAAGTGTTCTTCATTCTGACAAAAGACAAAAGAAGTTCCAGACCTCTATCTCACTGTCTGATCGGGAAGAAAAAAATGTGTAGTAAAAAAAGAAAGCTTTTTTTTTCATTTTAGCAAAGTGTATGATTTAAAATACTCATTGTATTCAATGTTAAAGAAATAGGTAAAAAAAGATGTCTGTTACTATAAATACCGGCCAATGGCATACTCCTAACGTTCTCTAACTAACCGCTTGTGCAGACTGAGTAACATATAATTTAACAGAATTCAGTTTTACTGGTTTCTACGTTGTATACTTAAAACATTTTCGAAGTTTAATAATCTTGTTTTTCTCAAAACACTTTTTCCCCCCCCCACTTTTTGCTTGCATGCCTTTAAAAAAATTTTCCAACACAGAGACTTGAAGTTGTGTGGATTAGTTCTTTACGTTTTGCTTCAGAATCTTTTTAACAATTTTTTTTTCATGCCAAAAATATTTTTTTGAAGATCAAATTCAATATCCCCAACTTTGATCTAACAATTTTTTATATTTCTAAGTATAGTAGGCCTATCAAAAATCAAAATGGTTAGCTCCATGCACCTATTTATTTGTGACATTTTGCAAGTTACAGAATTTAAAAAAGTAAAAAACTGTAGAAATGATGGACAGAAAAAATTTGTCCATCCAATTTTTAAGATGGCCACCGTTCCATGGCAACGACTTATGTTTAATGGAGTGTGTCAGTAGTTGAACATGAATGTTTAGTCTCACACTTACTGCCTGTGACAAAAGTTGTTTCACTTTGTCTTAGTTAAAAATGTTGTCCCGTCAGTATCAAGCCCCCTTTTAACCTCTTTGGTTTTAATGTCAGATGGAGAAGGATGGACCTCAAGTGGCCTTGAGGCGAGTTACTCCTGTAGTAGTAGCTCTAATAACTGTTTGAGTTGGGCAGGCCTTGCAGCCTATTATGACTGTGTATTACATAATCATAGATGAGGCATCAGGAGGCTGTAAATTATCCGTCCATGAATGTCAAATCTAGAATTGAGATCAAAATCTAAGCTCAAAGATCTAGAACTGAAAGCACAAGGTTAGAGAGGATATTAAAAATTATAAAATTAGTTAGAGGTCTAATGGATAGCAGTAGTCTCTCTGTACAACTGAGGGTTCAGAGGCAGAGTTGGTCTTAGTTTAAAGGGGTTTTGGAAGTAATTCAATAATAGCACACAAGACAATTTCTATTGCACAAATTACAGCTAGAGCTGTAACTCCAGCAAGACACTTTACAACACCTTCATCTAACACAAAATACAAGTGAATAGACATACTCATGCACTCACACTCTTAGATGAACGTAAACACTTTTAAGCAGACATGATTCATCCATGACTAAATATAAGATGGCATTTAAAAAAAATTCATACAGGTAGGCTTTTAAATTTGTAAAGTTTAGAATTTTGTCTTCGACTTTGTATCCCTCAATTTTTGTTGAGGAGAGAGTTCCAGATAGATGGAGCTAAATATGGCAGTTTGCAGGACATCAGAGGACAAGGTTTGTTTGTTGACACACGTTCTGTAACAACTGAAACTTTAGTCATATGCCCTATACCTTTATTCAGCCTCTTTAGTAAGCTTTTGAGATGGTGAAAATGGTCAAGTTAGTGCTGATTGATCAAAGAGAGACCGTGGCCTTTTAAAAGAACTTAGCTGCAGTATCTTTGAACTAAATAATTGGATATTTCACTTCTGGTAAGAAGTTTAAGAATCAGTATTTTCAGTTGCTACTTCATCATCATAACTTAAGCTGTTGACTTGGGTTTTTTTTCAGAAATAATTGGACCTCCTGGCAGCCCGTATGAGGATGGCATATTTGAGTTGGAAATTCAGATTCCACAAAGGTAAACTTCCTTGTTATTTTTTAAAGCAGAATTAATGTTTTATTATCATCAGTAAAGGTTTTTAGCAAAGGCTCTTGACGCACATCACTGCAAAATGACAACCACAAAAGTAGAAAATATACGGGGAGAAACTTGTAAGGAGCATTTATCTAGCAACACAAAAAACTGTAGACACCAAAGTTGATGAGTAGATATCAGCAGTTTCTTATGCTGCTTGACAAAAACTCTTCACCTCTGCTTCTCACCATCATCATATCACTATTTTTTATCACTATTTCACGTAGACTTGAAGCATGCGGGGGTCAATGGCAGCACAGCATACAAAGTCTTTGACATCTGAAATATTGTAGGACTACTTCAATCAGTTAGTTAAAAAAAATTCACACCTTAATTACCCAGTTTGCAGTGTAGTAGTATAGTATAAGGTTTTACGGCGCTCGCAACTGCTAAGGTCATATGAGCGCGCTGTGCAGTTTGCAGTGTTACAGACGGCGTTAAACTGGAGACGAATGGTAAGAACAAGTTTTACCATTGTTTGAGGATTCAACATTTCTCCCAACAGCTAGTTAAAAAATGGATGGGAAAAGGTGTCACAAAATAAGCAGGATCAGATTCTGCCTGTGCTCAGGGTTGGAAGGACTGCCACTGTCCCAATCTTCCTATCTCGAAACACCCTCCGTTGTTTTGTTACTAGCTGCTGAATCAGATGCCTCTCTTTAGTACATGTTGTGTATGTTGTCTGAATACAGATGGATGTTACTGGCTCCACCCATCTCACCAAGTTTCAAGCTGCTCATCAGTGTGTCACTAGTCAAATAAGGTAATGTTTGAACATGTAACATGGGGAGGCTGCTGTGTTCTTTTAACTAAAAGAACCTTTAAAAAAATTTGAATTTTATCACCAATTAAATAAAGTTATGTTTGAACGTATAATGTGGGGAAATCGTGCTTATTGCCTCCACATCCTTGTGGGTTGCTAGTACCTCCGGCAGGGACAGGTAGAGGTAGATATTTCATGTGCAGAGAAGATTAAAAATTTTGAAATCTCTTTGACTATTCCAGGTATCCTTTCGATCCTCCCCGAGTGCGGTTCGTGACTCCAGTCTACCATCCAAACATTGACGAATCAGGGCGAATTTGTCTCGACACACTAAAACTCCCTCCAAAAGTAGGTGAACTCTAGTAACAAGCAAGATGAATTAAATTATAAGGACTGATTATACACAATATATATCAAAAGTAGCCAAATAAAAAAAAAGCAAAACCCAAATTTTCTATTGCAGTTTTCAGAAAATGATGGTATCAATACTTGAGACAATTTGGTCTTCATAACTTGTCGTTGAAGTTTAGTTGATGACTGTTGTCCTCCACAGGGAAGCTGGCGGCCATGTCTGAACCTGTCCACTGTGCTCATGATGATTCGTGTTCTGATGGCGGAGCCGGGCTCTGAAGACCCCTTGATGACAGAAATTGTGAGTGCAAACTGTTGTTTTTTATGGTCTCGATCACATTTTTCTTTTTTCTTTTGTCCCCTGTGAATGTGGTTGGAGGGTGCCACTGGGAGGTCTTACTTCTTTTTTTTCCTTGTGTTGTTTCTTTGTGCCTATTTTGCTTTTTCTTAACTTCCTTACTTTTCTTTATCCTTCCTCTTGTACCACCATCCTGTGCGTCAAGAGGAAAGAGAGCTATTGGTCTCTGGCAAGCTGGATGGCCTGGCAGGGGAGGATGTCATGGGTCTTCTTGGTTTCCTTTACACCCTTGATCCAGGTCTTCTTTTGTCTTCCTCTTGCCTTGTTCCCTGATATCATTTTATTGTATGCTTTACTAGTAAGCTGGTTAGGTGCCATATATATTTGATGTCCAAGCCACCTGATTGTTTGCCTCTGAATGCTAACGCTAAATCAGTTAAGATTCAAATTTAACTGAGTGAAATCGTCTTGGGGTTTTGTAAAATTTGCTCTTAGATAGTTTTCAGGTTCTGTGGTATAAAACATGTTGTGCAAGTGGTTTGAGAGCGCCACAGATAAGCCCTTTTATTTCTGCTTGTCTGTTCTGATTTCCCTACAGCATTGAATGGCAGTTGTCATGCCTCTCTTCGACTCAAACTGACCATGTGTGTAGCAGAATAGTTTAACTTTGCCACTGCATGCAAAAGGTGTGTTCTCATTTGGGGAAGTCTACAGCATCCCTATTTTATAATATTCAGACAAACTGGTTTGCAGAAGTTGCCTCTTTCATTGCTATAATCAGCAGAGGTTTTATTTTTATTTTTTCGTTGCTGCTTCATTGCTTTTAGTGGGGTGGGGTCGTAGTTTGCTGCTCCTATCAAATGGAATGATTATTTATTTTGGTAGTTTGTTCCCATCTGTGTACGCCTTTGTTTCTTGGAAGGAAATTTGCTTTTTATGATTCTGCAATTTAGTCAAATCGATGGTTTGAAATGGTAACATTAATACTGCCTCCAGGAAGCTGACAAAACACTTTTTTTCATTTTTTAAAATTTGCTAAATCGAAAGCCTGATCAGTTAGTTACCCTGCTTGTTTGAAAAAATCAAAGTGAAACTGACTAAAATCTAGTTTTTTAATGAACTAGAAGTCAAATTTGGGAAGAACGGCTTTTTTAAATGGTTACCAGAGAAAAAAACCTCTTTATCTCGAAACTGCTGAGAATTTTATAAAAAGGTGTTTTGTCAGCTTACGGCAGAATAATACATACATCTTAATTTTGCTGAATCTTATGAAAATTCATGAAGCAAAAGTAGAAAAGAATTCTGGCTGTTCTACAAATACCTGCTTTATATGGTAGCCTATATGATAGTATTGTTTCCTGGTTTGGGACTTCTTAGTATTATTTTTTTTCCTCATATGTTTTTGTTGTGTATATTTCAGTGGCAGGAATTCAAATACGATTATACAACATATGCACAGAAAGCGAGAAACTGGACCAAAGCTCATGCCACAAGCTACCATTGTACTCACAGGAAGGTGAGGGAATCTGTGATGTTTTGTCACTATGTTGTGAACATGTCAGTGTGTCATGCCATGATATGTGTCTGGATGCTGTGAAATCAGACGCTCGTCAAGTTTTGGGCATGTGGAGTTATTGGTGTGATCTTAAAGTGTGTTCGTTTGTCTTGCTATCGATGAAAAAATTGCCTGTCTATCTCGAATACAATTCAAGACATTTGCAATTGAAAGAGGTGGAGGTCGCCTGGTTTCAAAGATAAAATTAGCGAAAAAATGGCCACCAAAACTTGGTTATTTTCATAGCTTGAGAGTCCGTGGAAACTGAAAAATGTATATTTTGTGCTTTAATAATAAATTTTTCAGTAAAATTAACACAAAATGATGTTCTTAAATGAACATAAAAGGTGCTGGACCAAAAACAAAAATTCAATAAAAATTTCCAAACCGGCAGAAAAATGCCAGTTTCTTCAATTTTATAATGTTGACCAGCGCCTGATTTCCCCACGTTGTCTCTCATATCGTCATGTGGCTCTTATTTTACTGATATATTGCAAGGGAGGCTAATGGACACTTTGATTTGGTCTGCTCATCCTACTTTTTTCTGGAGGTTTCTTTTTCCTGGTTTGATTGCAGTAGGATGTATGTGGTCATTCTATGCTGCCTTGGTGGTTGATGAAAGGGTGCCACTGGTAGGTTCTATTTCTTTACTTTCCATCTGTCATTTCTGTCTGTCTGTTTCACTTTTTATTTGCACTAAATGACCCTTAGTATTGTGTCAATGGCAGTTTTAATGTGCCAAACAAATGAAAGTTGCCCTGGTTTGTCTGTGGTAGGATGTGGTCCTTATTGTGCTTCTGCCTTTGTTTGTTGAAAAACAAACCAGTCAACAATGCGGGTCGGGTTGTTGGAGGGTGGTACTGGTACCACGGGTTGGTCTTACTTCTCTATTCTCTACTGCTCCCTCTTCTGTTTCTGCTTATGAGTCTTTCTTTTTCCCAGCACTGAGTACTGTTAACTGCCCTGATGTGCTTCTTTTTATCACTTTATCATATACACATTTCATAATCTGTAAATTGTTTACCATATCGACGGACTCAAGTGCAAAAAGTCAGCTGGGTGCTGGATCGGAAAAGTAAAGTAAGTATCCTATACACCGAGGTGAACCTTCTTCAAGACAACAATGGAGAAATTTGTTTCCTGTGTTCCTATTCAGACCATGATGCGCCAGGGGTTTTATGAATTATTTACAATATCTCTTCCAGATTTTATTCCAATTTGAAGGCATTATTATTGATGCTCTTTTGGAAGTATGATATTGACAATGCTTTAAAAAAACCATCCTCATCAAATAGTTATTGGATCTCACTGCTCATCTTATACTTCTGTGTAGTTTGGCTTTGACCTTGCAGAAACGAGCTTTTATTTACAGATTTTCAAGTCGGTCTTCTTAGATGGTCCTTCTGGCAGTTTGTTTTCTGCTGTTTTCTGGAATAGTTATGGCACTGTACCGCCCCCAATGATGTTTATTCTCCAACCAAGTAAGTAAGTTTTTTCTGCTGTGACTAATGCTTGATTTTTCTCTTCATGCAGGAATCGGGTTTCGATGGAAAGACTGCTGCAGTGTCAGGGACTGATGTCACAACGGGCAGCATGGAGGAAAAACAGGACAGATCTTGTGTGGCTCATCGTGCTGACGGAAGGAAGGAGGGAAGGGATTGTGGGGATGAAAATGATGGCAAGACGAGCAGCAGCATACGTTCGGCGGAAGAGATAAGGAAAACCGCGAAAAAACACAAGCCCCAGTCCCATGAGGGTGGGAGTCTGGCAGATATAAGCAATAAGAAGGGGAAATTTTCTTGAAACAAGTTGCCTGTTTTTTTTCCCCGTTCCCATCGCCTGTTTATACTTTTTTTTCGGGATGCTGTACTGTATGGATGTGTGGGAGTGAATGAGTGTGTGTACCGTCCAGTCTATTTATAACAGCCTCCGTTATTACAGGAACTTGGATATATAACACTGATAAATCAAATCCTCGTTTATTTTTTCTATAAAATGTAAGTAATATGAACCTGGCTATAACAGGGTTCAATCTGCGTAGACTCGGATATAACAGTGATCTTGCAGCGCATAAACTTGCTTTCAATCCGTCAAATTATTAAGATTTATCTCAACCAAGACATTTTGCCTGTTTGTATGATCGCTTGCCTAAACACTTACCCCGTCGTAGTTTTGGGGTCACTGATCGATTCGGTCTCAGTGTCACCAAAACAGCCCACTGGAAAGGGATATGTGGTAATAAAATATATACTATAGTAAGCGGAAGGTGCAATGTACTGGTAGTTTCCCTTGATAATGATTATAACAGGACTCGCTTATAACAGGGAAAACTGTCGGTCCCGTCTGTCCTGTTATATCCAAGTTTGACTGTATGTGTGTGTGTGTTTCTGTTTGAGTGAATGAATGAATGAGTGAGAGAGAGAGAGAGAGAGAGGGAGACAGTGCGCTGATGTGGGTGTTCATGAATGCTAATATTGCTTTCCTTGGGACAATTTCTGTGTTGAAAATGATAATTAAATGGATTTGTTTGATATGAAATAGTGTCTGTTTTTATATGTTAAATGTTATTTGTGGAAGCATCCAGGGGATGCATAATCATTTACAGGAGTGGAATGTCGACAGAGATAGACGCGACACAGTCATAAGTTAAATTCTGTACGGGATTATCCAGGTCCAAAACGATTTTGTTCAAAATATGCTCGGGCATACAGTACCTTAATTACTGCCCATGAGTTGGTACACAGTGGATGGTTGGAAGGTGCTGCTGGTAAATCCTACTTCTTTTCTTTCCCTCTGTTGTTTCTGCCTGTCTTGCTTTTTCCCTACACTAAACTAAATGACCATTATCATTTCGATGCAACTCTCTTTAATCAAAAAAATTAACTAGTGTAGCCAGACCCTGGAGAAACAGAATCTGACAGGACTGTTAACACTGAAATTTTTTATACAGCCCATGCCGGCTTTAAGCACGGTCATCGAGAGAAAGCTTAAGCGTGCTTAATGCCGAAGGGTGCTTGAAGGTGAAGTAGACATAATCCAGAGATTTTGATGTAGAAAATTTCCTGTGCTATTTCCCTTTGTAAGTAGGTCTATACCGCAAAAGTGTGCACTGTTATTTTTACCCGCCATGGTAGTTTTTGTTTGCTTGCTTGTCTTTGTTATGTGATCGAATGGGGAATTAAAACTTAATTTAGATGGCCAGTCTCGATACAGCACACTAGGACTACACACTGCAAATATGTGTACCACTGCCCGCTGTGCCACAATCGTACCAGCACCTTCATCCCATCTCGCACGTGATACATAATCAGGATTAATGAATGGCGTGGCGAGGGTCAAAAGTGAAATCGCAGCCAGCCTCCATTTCTCGTCTCCCCGACTCTCTTTGTATTTTTTCATCTGTGTCAAGCTTTGCCCTGGCTAGATCCTATGTCCACGTGCACGGCTGTGTGCATCTCTCTGCCTTCCTCTCTGCCCGTGTGAGTGTGTGTCTCCATCACTTGCGTTCTTTGTGTTTCTCTTAACACGCTACACTGCTGCGGTGTTGACTGTGTTCGAACTCTGATGGGTCATCATGAAAGTATTGACTGTCTTGTAAATGAAACGTGCCTGAAGCCGAAGTTACTGTGTAATTTATATATAGCAAAAATTCGGTAAGAGCCATTTAGTGTGCTTGAGTCCAAAACGTGCTTATGCCGGCATGCTTAAAGTAAAGCCAGCACGGACTGTATTTTTTTCCGTCTTATGTCATTTTTCCCCCACAAATTTTCTGTACTGCTAAACATAGCCAACTTGATGTTTTTTTCTTGTCAATTTTCCCCCTTTTTTCTCTTCAAGTTTCTTGTAGCCTGTAGTTGTATTTAATTTGATACTTGATGCACTGTATTAAAACCAAAAAGCCTTTCAAAAGAAGGTTGGTTGGAATTGGAAAAAAGTGGATTTTCTTCCAATCTATTTAAAACATTGTGACTATATAAGTACAATGATGTAAAGAACTTGTCATCTGAGTTTTATATAAGAAAAGGTCACCTACTTCTCGAAGGTAGACATGAAATTCTATCCTATGACAGGCTGTTTCTGTCCAGTTTTGGATTTCTTAACGTTAAGTTTTTAAATCAACCATTTTGTGCTAAACACATCGAGTAAATTATATATACTCAATCACAGTATTATCACAGTTTGAAAACAAAGTTTTTTTGACAAAACAATATATTTTCAAAGTTTTCAAATTTTACACCCCCATGAACACAATTTATATCATTTTGGAAGCGGGCTGCTTCAATCCTGTCTGTCGAGGTCAACTCGAGCTGATTGCGACACATGTACAACATCCCAGCTAACAGATGGAGATACTCGATAACAAAAGAAACACACCTAAAAAAACAAACAAACCCCAGACAATTTTTCCTTCTTGAGAAGTGAACATCTTCACGCAGCAACTGTGAAGATCGTAACCATTGCTCCAAATGCTGAAAGTGTATCAAGTGCCTGACAACATTTTAATCATTTATATTGAGAAACTGAAAATGTTTACGAGAATTGATTTGAAAAATTTCAGTTACCGTAATGATTCTTTCTCAACTCAAATTGAAATGTAACTGACATTGCTAACGTTTACTATTGTGCCATAACCCACATGTCCTTGCTCTCGATTTGAAGTCACGACATGCAGGAGAGAGAGAGATAAGAAGAGAGGAGCTGATAAGAATAATTAAGAAAAAGATAAAACGAATCATGCAATCTTTCTGGTAATAGTTCGTCCTAATCTTAGCGAGTGAATGGAGCAATATTTCATTTGTATGGTTCCATCTTCTTACCACAGGACTATTCATTCATTCATTCATTCATTCATTCATTCATTCATTCATTCATTCATTCATTCATTCATTCATTCATTCATTTTTCATATTTGCTGGACTACGGAGCGGATGGCCCTGCTTTAACTTTAAATAGCCGCCAAGGCATCTTGGGTTGTTTTGGGATGATTTTAAGTGGCTCTCCACTCACTTTGCTAGGCCCTATCGGAATTGGAATTACAATTCGGGGGTCCTATTTCTTAGATTTATAACTTAGATCGTTGACAGCTACCTCAAATGTTAAACCTGTACAATGACTAAAGGCTCCTCCTCCTCCTCCTCCTCTTCCTCTTCTTCTTCTTCTTCTTCTTCTTCTTCTTCTTCTTCTTCTTCTTCTTCTTCAGGCTGGAGTAGGCGAAACAATCTAGGCCAAACCGTGTAAGAACTTACATAACTGTATACTTTCCCATGTTAGAGTTAGATTGAGGGAGTGACCATGGCATGTAAATTGTAATACTATGTGGCCCGTATTTTCATAGAGAGTGTCAGCTGTCGGTAATCTAAAGAGTGGGGGCGCAGCTTCGCGACAGGTCCCACATAACTGTGACATAATTTGAATCGAAGTGACTAGCCCTACGTTCTTAATACGTCTAGGGCTAGCCGTGTACGACTAGCCTGCCAGTTTAGCCGTGCTTAGGTTAGGCCCTATTGACCGAAACCTGGCGAGTACACATGACTCATTAGATCTAGTAATTATTCAGGTTTAAAATACATGCATCATGTCAGTAAGGCACCTTTTGGTTTCGTCTGAAATACAAAAACTTTAGGCATTGGAAACTTAAAATTGTATTTACAATTCAGCCATCATTATTTAGCACAGTTAGCCTGCCAGTCTAGCCGTCTGTAAGTGCGGCCAGTCTAGCCGTCAAGCGGTACTTAGGTTAGGCCCTATATTGACCGAAACCTGTTGAGTACTCAGGTCTCATTAGTGATTAAGGTTTAAAATTTTTATACATGCACTGTCAGTAAAGCACCTTTTGGTTTCGTCTCAAATACAAATTTATACTTTAGGTATTGGAAACTAAAATTTTATTTACAATTCAGCCATCATTATTTAGTACGGTTAGCCTGTCAGTCTAGCCATCCTTAAGCCTAGCCATCTTGCGGTACTTAGGTTAGGCCCTATATTGACCGAAAGCTGCTGAGTACACCGATCTCATTAGTAATTAAGGGTTAAAATACATGCACTGTCAGTAAGGCACCTTTTAGTTTCGTCTCAAATACAAATACATTACGTATTGCAAACTAAGAATTTATTTACAATTCAAAAGGCCTACTTTTTTGCTTTTTGTCAGTCTAGCCATCATTATTAATTATTAAGTACGGCTAACCGAAACCTCTAGCCGTCATTAACTTTAAGTACGGCTAGCCTAGCAGTCAAGCCGCCATTAAGTACAGCTAACCTCTTCCATTTAGAATACAATGTAGGCTACAACAATTAATGTTTTGAAAAGAATTTTAAAAAAGGGAACATGTACTGAAATTCTTCTTTTCCCCCTTTAAATTCGATTAACAGACAACAACAAAATTGGTAATTGGATGGGTTTAAGGTCGTGTTTTCGACTTGTTAAGTAGATTCTACATGTACAATAATAATAATAATAAATAATAAATAGCATACATTTGTATAGCGCATATCCCCGCTCAACAGCAGGCTCTATGCGCTTTACACTATATTATCACCCAAGTAGACCACAGAACACTCCGAAACATTCTCAGCTTCCCGGGAAGCATACAGTGCAAGCAGCTGATTAAGCGCTCAAACACTAACAAACTGACAAGATCTTTCGCTGTCTTTAGCCGGGTACCCATTCCCACCTGGGTGAAGTGAGGAAAATTCGTGTAAAGTGCCTTTCCCAAGGACACAACGTCGGGCCCCTGACGGATTCGAACCCACGACCTTACGGTTGCGAGTCCGAGAGCCTAACCACTAGGCCACCGACGCCACAGTATGGACAAAAGTGAGACTTACAAAGAGTAAACATTTTGAAAAGCAGGAAATAAAGGCAAAGGGTAAAAATCTTCCAATTTTATTTTACTTTTACTTTTACTTCGCTTGCTGTGAAAAAAGAAAAGTACATGATTATCATTTCTGTAAAAGGACTTTCCTTAACTAGGATATTGTCCAAGAAGTAGAAGTCTTGCGCAAGCGCGAAATATCCATTATATATTATATCGTTATATAGACGAACTGTGACCACAGGCACCCTTGGACACCTGTTTGATGATGTCATCGCCAGTCTTGCCACAGTTTGCCACGCTGAGCGTGCAAGAGTTGCTGTACGTGTGTCCGTCAGAGCCACACACGGGGTCATAGAGGGCAATACAGAACACCTGGCACATGGGATTGACCGGGGGGGGGGGGGCGGAGGGGTAAAGTGATTGTTGTACATGTGATGTATGTTTTACCTATCTAACCTTAAATCACCTTTCAATACTGTGTAGGCTTAGGTAACAGGGAGTGAAAGGATAACTATTGGAACTGGAGCCACCTGTTTGATCTTTGGATTATTGTAAATTGTCAAACTTTATTCATCTCGCAGGGAGAAATTTGTATTGGTCGTTAACAATGGCAGTAGACGTAACAAAAGTTAGACCTAAAGGTGTAAACACGACCTTGTCACCACAGGAGGAGCGCCAAAAAGGGCACTGGGAACTTTCCTGGTGAAAATGCGTTGTATAAA